TTTTTTTTTTTTTTTTTAATGGTGCAAGGTAGAGTTATATACACTATCTCTGACAAGTATGTATCCACAGTTGTATAATAGATTAACCGAGGGATGATACTGGCTTCTTAAATTATTCGTAAAGAGAGGGGATTACTGGGATACCGGTAATATAGTGGAATTAAGCGTGTGATTTAAGTGCGTATATCCACTGAATTAAATGGCGATAGATAAATGTTTCTCTATCCAATTTATAGTTTAGAAAGTGACAAATATCGTAGATAGAAATTTTTGTTTGATTATTGTTACTGTTTGTTGTAAACGGCCATTTTATCCGACATTTATAATCGAATTAATTTTCTTATCGCTAAATTATTCTATTTCTTAAAACTTTAAACTTTAATTAGCCTAAGTCTTTTTATTTTTCTTGCTTTTTTTAAAGCTTATAGGACTCTTTTTAGTAGACTTAACGCTCGGTGCAAGAGATTTCATGGCAATGTAATTTTTTCGAACCTCGTATAAATTCTCCATTAAAGCTTTCCTCTCGCGAAATGCTTCCATGTATTTGATCCGATACAGTATATCGTGCTCCAATTTCTGCAATTTGTTTAAATTCTCCAATTCTTCGAGAAATTGCTCGTAATCCTGTTGAGCGCACGTAACATCCAATTTGCGCAGCACACTCAGCATTTCTTCTTTCGATTCGGTCTTCAATATCTCTTCATCCTCTTTGACCTCGTATACCGACAGATCCAAGGGTGGAAGTCTACGAAGCGAAGGAGGCGGGCTCAAAGTCCTCTCCTCCATGCAATGCGATATATCTGGCGCGTCCACCAACGATCGCTCGTTGTCTTTTTTTATCAACGGTTTTTCAGACAGATTCGAAACTTTCTTTTCCAAACATTCTATCGGCTGTTTGACCGCGTGTTTCTTTATGAAAGCTTTACGGATTTCTCTCCCACGTTCCAAACTGTCGGGATTGTCTTGTGCCCAGATTTCCTTCATCTCGGCTATTTCCAACTCCTTCGTCCTGTCTTCGAATATCTGTCCAACGTAAAAATTGGTATCATTGGTAATTTATATTGTTGTCTTTGCAATTTTATTTATGTAAAAAAAGAAAAAAAAAACGAAAAACGATCGGTGTATACCTCTACTTTACTTCCAGAATCCGTGATCACTTGAAGAATCCAATAAGGAGACTCGAGAGTTTGAACATTTTCGGTGGATTGCTTGATACTTTTCTTTGATCTCGATGTGTCATTCTTTCTTATCACATTATTAGATGGTAATTTCGTTCTAACTATAGATCCACTTGGTTTCACTTTAAATTCCGACACGATACTCCATTCTGCCCTCGTAAGTGGCCACGTTTTACCGAGAACCGATCCTTCCAAGTAATAAGTCGTGTAAGGTACCACGTTATACTTATCATTTTTTTTGATATCGATTTCCTCCTTGTATTCGTGCATCTTCTCATCAAATCTTTTCTTAAACTTCAAATACACGACTGGCAAGATGACTACTGCGAAACCTCTATTTCTCGATATCAAATTGCCATGCTCGTCCTTTACTCTCAGCCTTATTTTCGCATTACTGTACGATACTCGTAATCTGAACGACATTATACTAGACTGCATCACTCGAATAGTCCATTTTGAAATGAAATTTCTCGAATTGGGGATATAAGTGTTGCACAACTCTTCTATGATCAAGGTGGGAGGTGTGATCATGGTATAGCTGGTTTCATTGATCAAAAATTGAAACTCGGGCTGTCCTTTCATGGTGATTATATTTAAAGTCCAGGGTAACTCTTTCGTCTGATTTGTATCGCTATCGGTCCATCCGTAACAGAAAAGGGTGTAACCAAGTTTCGTGTGCTCGTAACGAGTTGGCACCACGTTATTCACTACTTTTAATATCTCTTTGTCCAACAGGTTGTCGAACACGCGCACATCGTATCTCGGTAGATTAATGAATAGATTTATATTCGCGAGAACCACCTCACCGACTCGAGGATTTATTATAATTCTTATAATAGGAAACCATTGATTTGGCTTCACGTTGGTCAACGTCCCCTTGAACTCTACGGATTGCAAGATGTACTCAAAATCTTTAGAGCAATAGAAAATATCGTAGAATTTATCATGATACTTGACAATATTTCTCAATATATTATTAGCCAATGATTCTTGTTTGTTGTAATTAAACAATTCCGTGATCTTAAGTAAATTTTGCAAAATCTCATTGTGCTTTTCGTGTTGAGGCTTATGCATCTTCATATACTTTTTCAGTATAATCATCTTGAAAAATGATTGAATAATGCTAGCAGCTTCATCCTTTCGAGAAACGAAATTAAATCTGGACTCTAAAGGCGGATCTTCTCCGTGTATGCTCCTATATCTTAAAGTCCTCAAAATTACCGAGATCTCGTCGTAGCATTGCATACCGATCTTATGATTCAGAAAAAATACTCTCAATGCCCTCAACACGTTCGGTAAGTCGTTCTCGGTTATAATCTTTGTAAGGGAGTTTACCAGTTCTTTGATAAAATATTCGTGCACCTTTTGATAAAATATTTTTTTTCTTTTCTTTTTCTCCAGAGAGAACGGTAAGTAGCTACCGTAATAAAACTTCAACTCTTTCGAATATCTTTCGGTGCCAAACGATTGAAAGGCATTACTTATGGAGTTGCTTATGTGCTTCGCCATCCTATTGACCATTTCGGATTCCGTGCACATCAATTGATACATCTTTCTTCTATCACCCACGTGGAAAATCGTGTCCGAGGAAATGCTCACGTAACAATTCGAGTCTGAATGACAATAGATTTGCAAGATATGTCTTCCGGGATTTATTTCGAGTATAGTCGCTTTTGTCCCAGCAGTTAGAATGAAAATCAAATAGTCGGGTTTCTCCAGTTTTCGAAACCAATGATTCTTTTCCACGGCCAGATAACCCTTGTGCGCTTTCAGCAGAGTTCTAGGATTTGTCCCTTCGTCCCTCTCGTTTTTCACGATTTCCCCGGTAACTTGAAACGTCGAGAAGTTGATCAAGAAGAATTTTTCCTCCACGGAATCGGTGAAAATGTACAATGGATCGTTCCTGGATTTTAACATTTTTTGGGGCCATAGATACGTGTCGATGAATTCGGGATCTTTGGTTTGTCTGGACGGAGAACTCTTTTTGCTCTCCTTCTTACTGTCTTTCTTCGTCTCAGATTTCTCATCGCTCGGTTTCATTGCAAAACGATCCGACAATTTCATAGTGTATTGAAAATAATCTAATTTATAGAAGAAATCAACTTCTTTTATGTAGGGTTCTATTTTGTTGAAGTCCGCCCAGAAACAGATATCGTCTAACGTCTCGTCTTTCTGGGGATTCTTTGATCTTTCATTAATTTTATTATCTTCCATCGCTCTGAATATATCGTTGTCAACAACGTTCTTCATCAACTTATTGTATTTATTCACCACACTCTCCTCGCATTTCTTCAAAGGGCTGACAACTTTCAACGATCGGATCGGTACGAAATATTCGATTGGATTGATTATATTCTCGCTGATTGCCCATTTTAACCATCGATAAAACTTCCATTTTGCTAGAGGAGGCTTCACCTGCGTTTTCAGTTTAACCTTAACGTTTATATTTTACTTAAGATTAGATTCAATGATTGTTCAACCTACGTCTTTAGGATCTAGGGGAATATCACGCGACTGATCTACGTAAATGAAGTGGCTCCAACACGGTGACAATTCCGGGATATTTTCGTTTTTTATATCTCTTAAATCGAGAAACAGGGAAACTGGTTGTGGTTTAATCAACGCTTTAATCTTTGGATCGTCGAACTTCGATTTTCTCGTGTCGTCGGTCTTCCCCGTACGATCGGTATCCTTAGACTTCCTCGTTCTCATCGTTTCCTTAGATTTTTTCACTTCTTTAATCCTCTTGGATTTCACCTCTGTTTGCGAAGACTATAAACACTATAAACAGATCATGGGGACGATAAACTCGACAAAAAACACGTGACTAACCCTGACTTTCTTGCTCGTCTTCTTTCTCCCATTCGAAATGATCCGCGTATTTTCTCAAGAAATCCCATTTGTCTTGCGGCGATTGATAGTGCATCTTGAATTTCAAACAAACCCATCCTACGTTCGAAGAAAGAAAAAACAAACAAATGGAATAGATTACACGTACATCTTAACATTAAATTCAGATTTCTTTCTTTACCGGTTAAACATGCAACGGGATGGAAATCTATGATTTCACAGCTATTCGAAGTGAGGGAGCTAAGTTTTAATAAAGCCTTCGAAAGAATCATGGGCCATAATTCGAAATTATTATTAGTACGGGGTAAAAGTGGCAATTTTTCTTTATTCACTGGTATCATATCATCCACCACTATTCGCCGCCAAGCTCCCAGAAAATACAATCTTACAATGTATTTGCCTTGGATAGAATAAAAAAAACAGACAATTTATCCATATAATCATTATAAACACAATAAAAATCGAGAAAGAGAGAGAGAGAGAGAGAGAGA